CCCCCCCCCCCCTACCACTACTACTACTGCCCGCTTCAGCAGTTGGGCATTTTTGTTCTTAGGCGTATAAGTGTATGGCATCCATGGATGCATATCCGTGAGGGGGCGTGTGCGACGTTCACTGTTGTACGCACACACACGCAGACGCCCTCCCTTCCTTCCCTTCTGCACTTCACTTCACGGCACACACACACGCACACATACGCATACGCTCCCATAGAGGCATGCATGTCTACCTCCTTTGGAATTCGCCCCCCACTACGTGGAGGAGGCCCGGGGTCTACCCAAAGCGTCACTCACAAAACATCCTGTTTTTTTTTGTCGTATTTTGTGGTTACCTTCCGCTATCTTGCTGCTCATTTTCAACACCCCCCCCCTCCTCCTGCAACACTGTGGCAACCCTCCAATCACTCCCTGCATGTTTGCCGTATACCACAGACAAACGGCAAACATATACATATATACAGTGTTCTGTATATCGCTTGCGTATATGTCAGTGCACAGCGGCAATAAACATTTATATATGGTGCTCCGGACGGCAGTGTCTTCCTCATTCAGCCCCACACTCTACAATGCCAGACAAGCCAAAGGCCGCTCACGCCAATTCAAGCACATACAAAACACACGTAATTCAGCCTGTCGTTTTTTTTTGTTTTTTTTTTCCCCTCTCTGCCTCTAGTACCCACACACAATCCTTTGACTCTTCTCCTATAAACTCCCCTCACAAACGGCAGGCAGCAGCATCACGCCGGCCGACCTTGCACACATAAACAACCGCGAAGCCGTATGGTTACCATCAACGTCATAGAAGCAACGCTGCCACTTCTCACTTCACGACATCTGACTGTAAATCAGCTTTCGCCTCGATTTTCTTTCCAGGCGCGACTCGGCAAGGGCATAGCGGAAGTACCAAATGCATCGCCTCTACTAGGACTGCATCGCCCAATCAACAAACAAACAAAAAATCCTCCTTTGCCACCAACATCAAACCCTCCTCCGGAGGAGTCGATCTCGCCGCCACGCTTCATCCGAGCGCCCACGACCCCGAACAACTAGTACATGACGGAACCATGTATGGTCCCACAACTCTCCCATCTCGCCCTCAGCCGGTTGCCGCTCGACAGAGACATTGACACTCATATCTGAATGTTCAACCGTTACGAAAGCCACGCGACTATCAGGCGTACCATCGGACACAACATAACTTCTGTCCGCAACCCCACTCTGCGCACCGCGTGCAGCATCGGGCGTCAAAGCTTCCGCCCCACTAGCACATCGCTTCTTTACCACGCGACCGCGCACAAAACCCTCACACCTAGGAGTTAATGTCGTGGTTGACATGCGCCCACCAACAAGGGACCGGGGCTCGTACAGATCCCACAGCTCCTTGTACGCATGCGCTGCCAGCGCATCCCCGATCTGATCTTCGCCTAGCGTGTCTAGGTGCCGCACCGTTACGAACGCAACGAGCGTGTCGGCCTTGGCATCCAACACCACGTCGCTCACATCCCCGCGCTCGCACTGCAGGGCGCGTGCTGTCTCGGCCGCCAAAGCTTCCTCCACATTCCCACGTCGCTTTTGGAGCACGTAGTCCCAATTATCACCCTCGAAGTAAAACTCATGTACAGCAGTTCCCATCTTCACCACGTTGGCTGGACGCACATCGTACAGATCCCACAGCTCCTTGTACGCATGCGCTGCTAGCACATCCTCAACGTTGTCCTCGCCCAGCGTGCCTGGGTGCCGCACCGTTACGAACGCAACGAGGGTCTCAGGAGTGACGTCCAACACCACGTCGCTCACATCCCCGCGCTCGCACTGCAGGGCGCGTGCTGTCTCGGCCGCCA